AAGTCCTTGTAGGGAAAGGGTGGGTCTAGAGGGAACTCTAAGTCCGAGGCCCCCAGGGCGAGGAGAATTGGAAGATCTCTGTGTCCACTGAAGGCAAACTAGAGACCCTTGTGTAGATTCCCAAGGGTAGATTGATGGTGTGTGGAGTGAGAGGTAAAGTCTCTTATAGAATCCTTTCATTTGGAAATGCCTGATGGAAGAGAAGCCTCCACAGGCTGGTAAGGAATGTATCCAGCCATGTAGATGTTGGGCTTTCTTAATGAACCATCTGAGGGTCATGACAGAAAGGCTAAATCAATGCACACCTGAGTGGCTGCCCAAGTGGCAGTGCACAGATCATATCCTCTGTGACCTGGTGGAGCCAGAAGGAGTCATATAGTCATGACATTGATAGTACTTAATCCATTCACCGGCCTGGCCTCAGAAAAGGACAGAGTTCCCAGCTCATATGGAAACCACGACAAGAAGCAGAGTTGTGGGTTCAGGTCAAGAAGATGCCAAATACATCCTTAGATAGTTCAATTGTGTGGATTTCAACCGGTCTTGCCAGGTGGTGTCAGTCAAGTTCATGGAAGAACTGACCCAGTCCAGAGCATCACATGACCTCTTCAAAGTCACAGAGATGACTCATACCAAACCTGGGACTTGACCCTGAGTCTGACTGAGAGGTGTGCACATCCTGTGTCCACTGAGCCACATGAAACTCTCCCAGTCTGACTCAGGCCCTCTGTCACTTGCCCACAGTCCCAGCCCTCAGGTAGTCCTGTTATCTTCAGCATTAGTGACTGACATGTAGTCCATCTAACCAAATATACCAGCATTACAGAATAGTTATTCTCCCAGCTTTTCTTTGGTTGGGGAATCTGCATGACTTGTCTAGGTCCTCCACTTTTCACCCTTTCTGACACCTACTTGTAATCAAGGTGTCAGATGCCCACGGACTGTGATCTCATAGGTGGACTGAAGGTGAGCCAGGTGTTGACAGGATCCAGTTCCTAATGGGCTGCAGCATGAGGGCCTTAGCCTGTTTCTGTCTGATAGAGGTATGATTGCCACCAACTCATTGTAAGCTGTTCATCTCCACAGAGACATGTGCAGTTAGTACTGGAGGGAGGAAGTTTGCCTGTTAGGGGTGGCTTATTCTTTTGACAGCCTGCCCTTGGGCAGCAATGACTTACTACTATAGTTTCCAAATGCTGTTGGCTACAAGCATGGCATTGGGTTGGACCCATTTCATTAGGACACAAGAGAAGGAAAGTGTACAATAGTGGTTGCCAGTGACCTGAAGGTGGCATAGAGATGACAATGTGAACATAGAGGTGTAAATACAGCCAAACCGCAAAAACATATTTTTTATTTTAAGTATATAATCTATACTGTACCTTGGTATCCTGCTTTGAAGTATGTATAGGTTGTAAATGTGAGCACTGTGTGCATAATAAAGAGTCTGGGCTAGGTCTATAAAATTAACCATTTCAACACGTTCTACTTTTTGTTCCTATAAGATACAAATTTTTAAATTTAAATACATATCAAACATGTATGTTCAGCATCTATTGTTTACGACTTCACTGTACAGGAAATGTGCATGGTGGAAGATCGTAAATGCTTTCTCCACAGAGGAATAATGGTGACTCTGAGGGTGACTGATGGGATTTACCTTGATGGTAGTAGTCGTGTCACAATGGTTTACACACCTGGAAACCCAAAAGCATACAATTTTAATTTTGAGATTTTTTATTTTTGAGAAAGCTGGGGGGGGGGGATACATCGACACAGCTGTGAGAACCCAGGGCTCAAAACCCACAAGCGCTGAGCCCTTAGAAGTGGCAACACTTAAACTGGTCATGCCCTAGTTCACAGGCTAGGAGAAGAGAGTGCTCTTGGAGAGAGTACAGAGAGTCACTTGTGACTGGGGTGGGCAGTGGCAAGTATCTTCTCCCCGGAAGTCGGGACTCTGTAGTTCTGTAGAGTGGGAGGCAGGACACAGGGCCACCAAAGCCTAGAACTGTGTGTCTCAACCTTCCTTATGTTGTAATCCCTTAGTACAGTTCCTCACCTGGTGGTGACCCCAACCATACAATTATTTTCTACTTCATAACTCCAAGTTTGCTGCTGTTATGAATCATAAGGTAAACATGTGGTATGTAGAATGTTTGCTATGCAACCTCCAAGGGATCGAGACGCACAGGTTGAGGACTGCTGACCTAAAAGGACCATGCTAGGTGATTGTGGCAAGAGCTGAGATCAACAGCAGAGGTACGTCATTTGGAAAACAAAATGTAGTGCTGAGTATCCCAGTGAGCCCTGTGTGGGCAGTGGACAGCTAGTTCTGTGGTCACGATTAGTCAGCTTGGGAGGTGTTGGGCAGGATGGGTCTGTGTCTGGTCGGAGGGACAGATGTGAAGGCTTCTTATGCATCTGTCCAGCTGCCTTTATCCCACCTCTGTTTCTGCGTTCTAGATCAGCTACTGAAAGGAACCAAATATCACCAATTATTTCAATAGACATTCGTTGTTTCATTTCTGTCTCTTCTCCCTTTCTTCTCCACTCCCTTCGCACCCCCCCCCACACACACACATGGACATAGAGAGGTTGACAAACTCAGAAGGCATAACCTCTGGGAAGACTGCCTTTCTCTTGGGAGGTGAAATTTCTAATTCTCTTTTGGGTTGGTAGTGCCGAGCCATGTATCTGAGGTTCGGCTAGGACTGGAGAAGTTGTGACACAGAGCTCACATTCTCAGCTGAGTTTGGATCTACTTGACACAAACGAGGGTCATCTGAGAAGAGGGAACCACAGTGGAGGAAACCCTTCTATCAGACTGGTGTGCAGGTCTCCTTGATGAACACTTGCTGGCAGAGGAACCAGCCAGCTGGGGCTGTGCCATCCATGGGCAAGTGATCCTGTGCTATGTAAGCAAAGTAAAGAAAGTAGCCCGAGAAAACCACAAAAGCTCGGCAACAAGAAGCCTTTCCTATGGCCTCTGCTTCAGTTCCTGCTTTGAGTTCCTATCTGTCTTCAATCAATTCCAGGACCCTAAGACATGGGTTGAAACAGGCCACTTCTCCCCAGCTTGCTTTAAGCGTATGGGGTTAATAGAAACCACAATCACAGGACCAAAGTCAGTAGACAGAGGACCTGTGAGGGGAGATGATGCTCAGCCCATCAGACCTGCCACAGAAAGATCACTTCTAAGTCATTGATCACACTGGGATTAGCTACTTGGTGATGGTTAGTCGGTGATGTCGATCGGACTGGATTTGGAATCAACTGGGAGACACATCTCCAAGGATGTCTGGGAGGATGTTCCCAGAAACATTTATCTGTAGAGAGAATGACTGCCCGGGAGTGTGGACTGCATCATTACATGGACTGGGTTCCAGGAGTGAATAAAAATGAAAAAGCAATTGCCAGTGTCCCCTCCTCCATGCATTCTGTTTTTACCCAGTTGTGGAGTCTCGGCTGCCTGCTCCTGCCACTGTGAAATCTTCCACATTCCCCTGCAGCCTGGATTAGACCCTTTTAATCTGTGAGCTAAAATATATTCTTTCTGTGAGCTATTTTTGAAAGCAATGAAAAACATAACCAATACAAACTCCAACTATTCTCTATCTGTGGGTCCCACCCTGGCTGTCCTACAGAAGTAGAGAGAAGGGCTTGAAGCTTGAAATTCTGTTGTCTCCCTGTACACATTCTGGCCTCTGAGAACCCCCTCCTTCTCTCAGCAAGGAAGGACTCACCCCTTCACAGCAAGGAAGGACATTGGTTTCTTACAGCTGGTCCTGGTCAAGCATTTTTTTACTCCATTAGTTTGAAGCATATTGGAGATTGTCATTTGAAGGGAGATGGTATTTGTGATTTCTGTGTCCTATTTATGTCCTCCTGTAGTCAAAATACATTTTATACGTCAGTAAAACTGCCTAAGGGTAAAGATGAGTTGTGTTTTATCCTCAATGCAGCCTTGACCTGGGATAAATGTTTCAAGACCTTTCAGGGTCGCCCTAGGAAGACAAGAAACCCTCATAAAGTGGAGAGTGACCTTGTGTAGTAGAGACAAACAAGGCTGTTTTTTGGAACCTGTCTTGTCCCAAGGAACTGTGGGTGCTTGGGTGGTGTTGTGAGCAAAAAGTCTAAAGCCCTTTTAAAGGCTCCACGTATTCCTTGTGTATGCGTCCCTCTCCCATAATCTCTGCTCAAGACTTCTCAGCTATGAAGTCTGCATAGACTGCAAGGGGAGAGGCCTGCAAACTGCTCCTCCTGGATGTATGGAAGTGTGGGTCAGAGGTGCCAGCTGTGATATAGAAACAGTTCTGAGTGAGACTGCTTTGCTACAAAGACCGGAGCAAGTATCTTTGCCTCAGAGGGGGAAACTGATGTCCTAGGAGAACTCAGAAAGACACTTGCTCTCCCCTCCAAGATATCCCACCCCCATCACCAAGACATCATCCCCAGCACATTTTAAGTTGATGTCAGTAGGAAATGTAAATAAAATATAATGAAGCCAAAACATTGTAAAGCATGACGGCCTTTATTTCAACCGCACTGAACAAGATTCTCAGGGGGGTAAGGGCCTGGGCAGCAGAACGCCATGGCCCCGTTCTCGGCCTTTTTCTGCCCAGCGGCCTCTCCCGAGAAGGAAACAGAGAGACAAGTGGACCCTCAGAAGCCCTGTGGGAATGGAGAGGAGGGCTGGGGTGTTCTCTAGGGGAGAGGGAGAGAGTAATTGCAACTTGTTGTGATTGGTAAGAGGCAGGCTGACTCAGAGCCCCACCTGAAGAACTTGGACACACGTGCCAGGGCTCTCTGGAACCGACCCTTCCAGGGCCTTCTTGGAGGAGCAGCCTTCCCGGTTCCTCTTGGGCCATTGGATGAGTCCTCCATGTTGTGAGCAAAGACATTACCTTCCTGGAAGTATTGTTGTGGGTTTCTCACAGTCTGAAAAAGAGAGTTTAGACCTCATGTTTGCGGTCCCTCATGACTGTTGTCCATTACCTCAGGTGGGTACTGTGATGTGTATCTGCACTACTGGTTGAGGTGCTGAGGATGGAGAAGTTGGGAGCCCTGGCCTGAAGAACCCCAGTACCCCTGGAGGATGTTCCAGAGCACATGAACATGAAGCTCACCTGCCCAGGGGGTGGAAAGAAGGGAAAGGATATCATCTTCCTAGAGTGTGACGCCCCACTCAGGACATTTATCCACAGTTCTGCTGAGGTCCCCACTGTGCTGGCTGTGGAACCGAGACCTGCCCCCTGCATAGCCCTAATCTCCACCCCTCCATGGCCCTAAGCCCCATTGTTCCTGCCCATGGTTCCTCCCTGCTTCAGTTCAGTACATTCTGCTCAACCAGTAGATACATTTCTGGAGCATGACCTTCGTCCTAACTCCCGCCCCCAGAACTTTCTGTTTCTTCCTCTGCATTTCACCTTCACTCTGGCCAGCCTGAATGAAGTTCTGCAGGCTGAACTGAAAATGTCGAAGACTTCGGGTACATGGTGAGTTCACTTTGCGTGGGGTCTCCGCTGACAAACGTGCTCATGATGCCTGTCTGTGGTCGCCCTGTTTAGTTAGGACTGTGAGGTTTCTCATGGTGCTCTCTTGGTGCATGGTTCAAAGCGTTCATAAAATTCCAGAACAACGTCTGGTCATGGCGCTGTGAGGCTGGAAGGCCTGGACCCTACTTCTTCTCTCTGAGGCTTTTGCTCTGTGCAGGTTACCCGCATATTTGAGCATCTGCTTCTGGTGAATGATGGAAAGTATTTGTGCAGGACAGTCCTCAGGTCGTAGGTATTAAAGGTTAGCAGTTTACTCTTAGAATCGAGATTCACTTTGGGTTACATCTTGGAATCTGTTGGAGCCATCAATCTTTGTTTGCTTTTTCCCCTCAGGGCACCCCCTTTTTCTGTCCCATTTCCTATTATCGTGGAGTCTATGTAGTGCTGTCTGTGACCTGCCTCTGATCTCACTGGAGTGTGTGTCCTGTCCTAAGGTGACTCCGTGCTGTGGTGCTTACCTCCGTGTTGGAGCATGATAGTGAAATGCTGGGGTTCAGCCATTCTCCATCTTTGTCCTCTTCCACATGTCGTTGGC